TTAAAGGAGGGGTTGAACCCTCTGGCTGTCACTGAAGTGGATTCTCTTCATGCCTCGCTTGTGTTCATGCTAGTGGTTAGATTGCGACCCTCACAATGTAGTTTGCTGCTTTGTTATAGTGCTAGTGCAGTTTCTCCTTCAGGAGCCTTGGCTAAGACCCCCTCTGTGATTGTCCTTTGTGTCACACCAAAAGCCTTCTGAATGGACCAGTGGGAAGAAGAAGAAGAAGAGATTGGATTTATACCCCACCCTTCACTCAGAGTGCTTTCCAATCTCCATCCATTCCTCTCCCCACAACAGACATCCCGTGAGGCAGGTGGGGCTGAGAGAGCTCTGAGAGAACTGCTCTTAAGAGAACTTGTGACTGACCCAAGGTCACACTATAGGGTTGCCAAGTGGCACTTACCCTGCCGGCGGGGGACTCCTGTTTGGCTCCTGGCGCGCCGCATGCATGTCACAGGGAAGTGACGTCATGACGCCGGGCACGCTGGGGTTGGGGCCACGACCATACAAGGGAAAACCATAGAGTTTTCCCTTGTATGGCCGTGGCCCTGCCCCCAGTCTGCCCGGCGTCATAACGTCACTTCCCTGTGACGTGCACACTGGGGCGGGGTTCCCCCCGGGGCCCGATTCCCTGGCGTCGGAGAACGGGCCTCTGGGGCGGGGGGATTTCTGCCCCCCAGTGGGACTTGGCAGCCCTATCACACTAGCTGGTTGCATGCAGAGGTGTGGGGAATCAAACCCGGTTCTCCTAGATTAGAGTCCACCACTCTTAACAACTACACCAAACTGGGTCTCAAGGGAACCCTCATCTCCACCTTTCCTTGTGTTAACTTTTAGTCAAGACACTGATGTTGAAAAGCATTCCTTCTGTCTTACTTTCCCTTTTGAGAAGCAAAAGCTGGATCCAAAGCTCTGTAACCAGGCTGCTGTTTAAGAGAAGAGGTGGCTGGCAGACGTGACATCAGGTGCCTTAATAATCACCAATAAAGAGTACAGTGGCATTTTCATTCTTCAATACTCAACTTCGACCACTTCTTTTTAAAGCGTCGTTCTTAACTTTGGCATATTTGTTGGGGCCAAGATAATAAATGTGTTAAGACCCTGCGTAGGGCTGCAGAGAATACTCTGGTCAGTGAGGTGTGACTGACTCAAAGTCCCTCTCTGGGCAACTCTGATTTGAGCAGAACAACTTGCATCTCCCCAGCGGTACCACTTGGCAACGGTGAAGAATATATTTCAAACAGCTGCTCGTTCCTAACCCTGCTGGGAAGGCACGTGTCTGTCTCACATGCTGACATGTTTTGCTTTCAGTTAAAGGCATTTATTGTGATTCTGGGGAGAAAAAAAGATAGATCTGTTAAAGGGTGCTGGTTTTGATGGTATTTCCTTAGATTTTTACAAAAAACAAAACCTCGTACCCATTATTGTACAGAATCGTTTAGTTCAAAGGTGACTCTTCCAGCTGTGTATCACACATTAAAGGAGCACTCCTAAGTGGGTCTACTCAGATGTAAGTCCTGCGTTATTAGGTCTAAAGGTAAAGGTAAAGGTTCCCTTGCTCGAACGCCAGTCGAATCCGACTCCAGGGTTGCGGTGCTCATCTCCGTTTCAAAGCCGAAGAGCCAGCGCTGTCCGAAGACGTTTCCGTGGTCATGTGGCCGGCATGACTAAACACCAAGGTGCACGGAACGCTGTTACCTTCCCACCGAAGTGGTACCTATTTATCTACTTGCAATTTCTTGCTTTCGAACTGCTAGGTTATTAGGTCTACTCCCAGGAAATTTAGAATTTTACCCTAAAGTTCTTTACTATGGAACCAAACATAGTTTACTTTACAAGTAAGAGTGGTTTTCTGCCTTGTCCTTTTGAGTACCAAGTCAGGCCAGCTAAATTTTAAGGAATGTTTCGTTTAATTAGACGCCCTCCAGGAAGCCAAGATCTGTTTAGGCAAATAGTGCTGTTGAAAGGAAATAGTTGCCTACACATTATTAACATAGGCCAAGGCAGACATTTCAAACTCCCACTCACCGGGCATTTCTTTGGGAGGACATACACAGATTCGGTCATTGATCTGAAGTGCTTATTTGGTACCATTCCCAACGTAAAGGTTTAGAGAAACGTGGGGGGTGGGGTCTGATTTATTTTTCATCTCAAATCCGTCCTTCTTTTGCTCCTTAAAGTGGTTTTTTTTAAAAAAAAAACAACACTGAAATAAATGAGAAATGTTTCTCGAAAACACACATATGTGTTGCAGGACAAGATGCACAACACGTTTCAGTGTTGCCGTTTTCATCTCAAATCCGTCCTTCTTTTGCTTCTTAACGTGGGTTTTTTTTTAAAAACACTGAAATAAATGAGAAATATTTCTCGAAAACACACACATGTGTTGCAGGACAAGATGCACAGCACGTTTCAGTGTTGCCAGCCATTCTTCCATCCAGACTAAAGTGGAGAATCCAGTCCAAAGCTGGCTAAATATGTAATGAATAGACTGGCATCAAAGACGCTAGATATATTCAATCATCATGTCAGGATATAATTAATCACAAAGTGAAACTGTAAGTGACATTATTGTAACATTAAGTACAATTAATAAACATTCATGAAACAATTGTGATTATAAGAATACATGAAGTTATTTTGATCGTTATAAAGTGATTGCTGCTGACGAGAACCTCCGGATTGAGTTCCGTCTCGTCTCTTCATCTGAACAAACCTTCAATAAGGGTTTCAAACAGTCCTATTGTTTTCCTAGCCGCGATTTCTGCGTGTCGTGCAGACATCTTCAAGTAGTGTTTATCAGTAATTCATCTTCAATATGCACATTACGTCGGGCGTTCTAAAAATTAGTTTGTTCCATGAATGTTTATTAATTGTATTTACTGTTACAATAATGTCACTTACAGTTTCACTTTGTGATTAATTATATACTGACATGATGATTGAATATATCTAGGGTCTTTGATGCCAGTCTGTTCATTACATATTTGGCCATTCTTCCATGGCTGCTGCTTAATCCTTTTCTGCAACACATTAAGGTGTGCCCTGGTTTGGGTTATACTCTCACATAACCCCTCTTCTATGCCTAGCGAGGGAGCAAGAGTGCGCGTCACCTTTTTTGGGAAGACTGTTTCATCTTAACATACCCCCAATAACAGTTCCCGGCCCTCATTCTAGTGTCATTTCATGTGTTTTTAATCAAATTATTTTATAACTTTAACTGTATTTGTAATTTTGTTTTTTTGTAATAATTTTTGTTATTTTGTTATTTCTTTTTAAATGTTGGCCTCCTTTCGGGACCCCGATCAGGTGGAAAGGCAGCATGAAAAACGTTTCCGGTACAAATAAATGACTGATCAATGTACATAAATCTGTGAAAAAAAGTTACGTCTGTGTAGTCGTCTAGTGAGATGAGCATGCCTAGTGGGCAGGTCTGGAAGATGCAATGGTGTTCCCTCTGCTGCACAGAGAAGAAGAAGAAGAAGAAGAGATTGGATTTATACCTCGCCCTTCACTCGGAGTCTCAGAGCGGCTTACAAATGCCTTTCCCTTCCCCTCCCCACAACAGACACCCTCTGAGGTAGGCGGGGCTGAGAGAGCTCTTTTGAGAACTGTCCTTGAGAGAACAGCTCTGACAGAACTGTGGCTTGCCCAAGGTCATCCAGCAGGTGCAGGTGGAGGAGTGGGGAATCAAATCCGGTTCTCCCAAATTAGAGTCCACACACTTAACCACTACACCAAACTGGAGGAAGAGGAGAATATCATCCGAATTGGACTGTCGGCCGTGAGCAAGGGCTTCCGTGCAGCGTAGCCAATAGCAGGAGCGGCTGCCACTCAACGTCCCGTCCATTCTGGGGGGAGGGAAAGAGAGAACATTAGACCAACGTCCCTGAAACAGGAGCAGAAAGAGAATTAGAGCGCAACCAAATGCGGAAACGGCACATTGGACATGCTGCACATGGATTTCATGCTAGATTTGAATCCACAAAGCCCTAGTCTGAGGCAAGAGAGTTGCTCAATAATCCACTGGGGGGGGAATGGCACTGTCTGTATTATAATTTCGGTTGTCTTTACGACAGTTTGAGTCCTACCATGCAGTTCTGAAGACCTTTGTGATTCAAAGGTTTATTGATGTATAGCAAGACTAGCATGAATTCATTTTTACTAGTGAGGCAGCCAGTCGACTCAATGGGATTTCCACTCAGTTTCTTGGGGCGACTTCTCTCTTCCTGCTACCACACTTTCACCTGTGCAAGAGTGGATCCCATTTACTGCTTCCGTTGCAATCTCCTTGCAAGCTCTAAGTCAACCAGAATGATCTATGTCCGCTCTTTCCTAATTTCGCTCACCAAACCAAATGGCAACGATGTGACAAAATCAGCCAGTACCTTTTGAAAACGGGTTCTAGGGTTTAATAAGGCTATACTCAGCGATGCAGTGAAATTTTCATGATCTGTTCTCTGAAAGCCCATGAGACAGACGGGAACTAAGGACAATTCTAGTGTCTGAAGTATCTGCTAGGGATGAAGACTGTGTTACAATTTTGGTACAAACCCAGAAGACTATTGAATGCCAAGGTTGTTCAATAACTCCTCACCTCTAATGGTGCCTATCTGTTGCCTTGGGTTTAGCACGAAAGGCACTAAGTATTTCACATTCCCCACATCTTCTCTTCATCCTCCCTCCCCTCGATATGCTTCGTTTTCTGCACTGCCCTTTGGGTACCATGAGAAAACATTCTCTCCTCTGGCTGTTCTGTCTCCTGTGTCTTTATCAGAGGCTGACTATATTACTTTACGTCTTTTCAATGTCACCCTGTCACTTCCGCCATCTAGGGACATGTTAAACCACCAGTAGTCGAAAGCTTTAGAAGGCAAGAGTCTCTGACGCTACCAAATAATGACCCGATTACGAACGGCAAGAAATGCAGCTTGCCCAAGCTTGGAGTTGGTATTGTTTGTTTCTGTATACTTTACCCCCATTGTTACAGACTGTACCTCCAGCATCACCACACAGATCTGTTTAACACACTGGATAATTGCGTCGGGGGTTCCCGAGATGGTCACCGCCCTCTCTGTGGAGTTGGGCAGCATGTCCCCCGCCACTTGAACCTGGGCACCTGTAGACTGGAGGGGGGGGGAGAATAAAGAGAAGAGAAGCCCTGAGTGAAGACCCCAAACACTCTAACCCAGGCCCATAGCCAGGATTTTATGGCTTGTGGGGCAATCCCCCCCCCCCGGTGGATCTGAAGTTCTGAGTGCAGAAAGAAAAGCCAATAGAAAGCTGTTACCAGGATAGATCTCTAAATTGCAAACTGTCAGCTACTATCAATCAGTTCTCAGATGCTGCAAGTTAATCACTTCTGCCAGCCTAAGCAACAATTCTGATAACAAGCCGGCAGGTGGGGGTGATGACTTCTAGAGTCAAGAAAGCTAACACTTAGGCAGAAAAACTCTCTTAAAGGAGACCAGTTTATTGACACAGAGTTAGAAGGGATCCTAGAGGTCACCTACTCCAACCCCCTTGCTCAGTGCAGGAATTAGTCAACTACAGCACTCTGCTTAAAGGAACACATGCCTTTTTAAAAAAAAAAGGTTTTAAAATTATTGGAAAAGGCATTTACAGGAGAAATTCTTGTGGGGCTGTGCCTTTAAGAAAGAGGGCAGAGCCCCCAAAAGCTCCGGGCCTGCTCTAACCTCCTGTAGGTCATGGGAAAGGGAGGGATAATCAACACAGAATTGTGCCAGCAGAAATCTGCCAGTCTTGCCCTCCACAAATGGCTCAGCTATTACACTGCGCAATACCACACATCACCCCCGTGTTTAGGGATACCAGCCTCCAGGTGGGACCTGAGGATCCCCCCCACCCCCGAATTATAACTCATCGCCAGACTACAGAGATCACTTCCCCTGGGGAAAATTGATGTTTTGGAGGGTAGACTCTGTGGCATTGTACCTGTCCTCCCCAGGTTCCATTCCCAAATCTCCAGGAGTTCCATTCCCAAATCTCCAGCTCCAGCCTGGAGCTGACAACCCTCCTCCCCCCACATTCCCTATCAGTGGCCAGTGGGGACTTGGCCACCCTACTCATGCTAAAGACCTTATCCTGTACGGTATACTACCATGGAGTGCTTGTGGGGGCGATCCTGCTACCCTCTCTGCTCAGTGATTATCCCCGCTTTCCAGCCATTTGCACGGGGAAGACAGAAATCATCAGTCACCTGGTTTCTCCTTGCCAGGAGCCTTAACATACTGTTTGACACGTTGCGAAGGCAATGATCAGCACTCGTACTCGCGGTGTCTCTCTGCTCCTCCACACACACACGCGCGCAGCACATTTTTCATCAGCTATTTCAGCCAAAAAGTCAAACACTTCAGTATTGCTGAGAACCCAGCTGAGCAGTGTGAGATCTTTATTTTATTTTATGCCTTTACTGCTCTTTGCCATCAAAACAGAATCCTTTTCTATATATAGGAATTCGTTTCTTGGTGGAAAGCACTGTCAAGTCACAGGTGACTTATGCCGACCCTGTAGGGTTTTCAAGGCAAGAGATATTTGGCGGTGGTTTGCCCTTGCCTGCCTCTGTGTAGCAACCCTGGACTTCCTTGGTGGTCTCCCATCCAGGTACTAATCAAGGGCAGCCCTCTTAGCTTCCAAGATCTGATGGGATCAGGCTAATCTGGGTCAGGTCAGGGCCTGCTAAACCAACAGAACAATCCATATTTCCCCCCAGTTCAGTTCAGGTCTATTCCAGCTGCTTTATGAATTAAAGTCACAGGCTTGTGTCCAGACAGTTGTTTTTTTCCTTCTGAATGACAGCTTCAGGGTGCGTTCAGACGGACAGCTAATCCCACCATTATGCTGGCTCAAATTTGATCCCGATCTTTTTAATCCATCCTCGCACGACCAGACATCCCCCGGGGGAATCGCCTTACCGCGCGCTGCTTCCGCTGTGGATTGTCTAAATGGCGTCCACTGAATGAGGCGCGCGTGGGATCGTCCACTGAATGAGGTGCACGCACGGTGGCTTTAAAAAAACACACAAAAGTTTGCGCATGCGCATAGGCATGATATTGCGTCCTTGGTTAATCGCACCTGCGCAGGATCAAGATTTTCTAAATATGACGTCAGACCATCTCAAACGGGCGCCATTTTTAATTGCATGCTGGAATGATCGGACGGGGGAAAGTCTGGAAGTGGCCCGTCGGAACCGAAAACTCTAGATTTAAAGTAGTATCTTTTTAGTACGGCTCCTAAGCACGGCAAAAACGGGATGCTCACGGGAGACAGACGTTTCCCAGATGTTGATGTCTAGACATTACATTTAAATCCATGAGGCACCCGTGCCTCGCACGGATCTAAAGAGCCATCTGAATGCACCCTAAGGCTCTCCCCTGCTTACTATATGAATCTATGTAAGGCCCTTTCTGCACCTGCATTCTGAGCGAATCCTATTCTTCCGTTCTGCATTTCACTTCCGCTTCCACTTCCGGTTTGTTCGTGGCTTTTTCTTGTTTCTGCATTTGTTTGGCGGGAATCTGCATTCAAACCGCTTCCAGCACACTGTTGCCCTGCAGCTACAAGAACTCCTTTTGCTGCGATTCTTTGTTCCCATCTGCTTTTGAATTGCTAATGCTAAAGTAAAATTGTTTCTGTGGGTATTTAAGCACTGCCCACTGCCCCTCCCCCGTTCCCGCCTCTCTCTCTTTAGGTTGACGCTCCCTTCCTGTTCCGTTTTCTTTCCCTCCTTCTCCAAAGACAAAAGAGGACGTCTCCTCCCATTTAGGCAAACTTTAAAAAAGCCAGAGAGAGCATAAGAAGGAATCAGTAAGTATAAAGGACTAGGGGGTTTCCTGCTCCCAAATGTGTCAATCTTGCATGTGTGGGCCTGGATTTCCCGCTCCCTTCCCCTTTCTTTTTGCAGAACCACGGAGGGAGGGAGGGGTTGGGTCTGCAGTTAAAAGTTTAGAAAGATGTTTGCCTTTCTCTTAATCTCAGACAAAGCAGCCAGTTAGCTTTAAAAAATGCGGGTTTTGCTTGTAGATGCAGAATGCATACAGCGTACACAAATAAATAAACCAGAGGGGAAAAACCAGTGCAGAGGGAATGTGTGCAACTGTGAAGTCAACCCTTAAGGCCTGACTCCTCGGATTCTCCGGAGCAAGCTGTCAGGGCAGAAAGGACCTAAGTCTCTACCATATAAGTAGCTATATAAGCAGCTATGGCTCCAGTCACACGAAAAATTTGCCGTGCAAAAGGCACGAATGCTGGGCGGATTTTTGGGGCGCGATCACACCACAACATCTGGCAAGCATAGCACACCCATGGCCAACCCGTGGCGTGCTGCCGAAGATGCGCAGTTAAAAAGTACCTGCAAAGATCTACTAGCAAATGGTTTGCCATGGGCTGCAGATGGACTCGTTTGGTGTGACTGCGCTGGCGCATGCCTATTCCCTCCGGCCGTCCTCTTTGCAGCGCACGCCAAAGGACAAAACCCTGGTGCGCCGCCGTCGCATCTGATTGCATAATGGTGGATCAGAATGCGACGGTGCAGATAGCCACGCCTCCCCCCCGCGTTTTGCAGCACATGTGGCCGGGCCCTATATAAGTCTCTACCAGCAAGAGAATCTGCAGAACCAGCCTTTACACCTGACCTTAAAGAAAACCTGTCCAGAAGAAAGCTGTAGCCATTACCTCCCTGATTTCCTTAATTTTGGAGCCTCCTTTGCCAATCAGGGATCCACACTGGCTTGCTGGCACGACCAACCTCAGTGTTACTGGTGGCTTACTGGTAGCTGTACTGTTGCTCATGGAGTTGATTATATCCTTTGGAAAGAGAGAAAGAAAGGCTCCCTTTAGTAAAATGTAGCAGTCATTTTTACGGCATCAGGAGATCGCCAGTCAACACGTGAACAGAATTGTCTTCCTCCCGCCTTTTTGAAAAGATGCAATCAAAAATCCAAAACCGTGAAGTTATAACTATGACAAACTTCAATATTCATAATTTTCTTATTTATCATAAATATCATGCCTATATCTCCAAAATAGTATCAATAATCCATTCTCAGATCACAATAATATCAATAGCCCATTCTCAAATACTCATATGATAATGAAAGTGGTGCTTGTAAGTGCTTATAAATGTCTTTCAACTGATTAAAATGCTTGTGCTATGGTAAACCGCCTTGTATCCGCTGTTCTTCCAAATCCAGTTTTTGCGGATAGTATATGGACATTCCTGTACAACCCCTGACGGAGACTGTCGGCCTCTGATTCTGTTCCTTCCCAGCTTTCTCAAAGAGGCAACAGAACAAAATCCATATATTCAAAATATCATCCAAATACAGACAAAAATTCAGCAAGCACAATTTTTCAGATGAAAAGATGGGCAGATGAGCCAGGCCCACAACAAACAGATCTCTCAAAAGCATCCAGGGTAATAACTTGCATTTCCAGACCTGAGGATCAGCAAAGTGTACAGCCAGTGCTCTATGGTGGATTTGACTGACTTAAAAGGAAGACTTTGATGGCTGTACACGTTGCAAAATGCAACAAGGCGTTCAGTGAGCCTTCCTGCGCCTTGACAACTTTGTATAGCCAGCCTCAGGATGTGCCAATTAGCAGGGGTCGTTTTGTAGAAAAAGAGCTAGGGGAACTCATTAGCATAACTCATTAGCATATGCCACACACCCTGACATCACCGGAAGTGTGTCATAAGGCCACACACCCCGCCCCCAACGGTCCTGGCCGCTGCCGCCGGCCTTGCAGCTCCACTGTCGAGCCCCATGAGGGGCCCGGCGGTGGACCTGCAAGGCCCCTCGGGAGTGCAAGGAAGCCCCGCGAAGGCCCTCCCTGGCCCCAGGCAGGCAGGGGTGGGGAGAGGCAGGGAGGAAGCAACTTACCCTCCCTCTTCTCCTGCCTCCTCCTGGCTGAATGAGGGCCGGAAGCGGGGCGGCCGGAAGCAGGGGGCGGGGCTTTGTCATGTGCCCCGCCCCCCGTACCTCACCCGGGGGAACTGCAATCCCCCGCGTTCCCCCCCGAAATGACCTCTGCCAATTAGCCCTTGTCTGATGCCCAGAAGCAGAAAGCAGGAACGAGCAAGAGGCCTCATCTTGACAGCGACACTTTTACGGCAAGGAGGGAAGCGCCTAAATCAGTGATGGCGAACCTTTTAGAGTCCGAGTGCCCAAACTGCGACCCAAAACCCACTTATTCATCGCAAAGTGCCAACATGGCAATTTAACCTGAATACTGAGGTTTTACTTTAGAAAAAACAACTCATACATTAACTTAAGATGATCCAAACAAAGTAAGGAAAGCGATCCCAAAGGCTTTCATTTACTTAAAATTATTTGGCAGAGAATTCAACTCTTTAATAATGGTCTGGGCCTGGCTGGGGCGATGGCATATGTGCCCATAGAGAGGGCTCTGAGTGCCACCTCTGGCACTCGTGCCATAGGTTCGCCACCACGGGCCTAAATGGTCAGGTGTTCCCCTTCCGTTCCTGTAATCAGTCCTTTCCTCTAGCTAGCTGGCCCATTTTTATCCTTCAGGCTCAGAGCAGTGCCCTCCTTCCATTTTATCCTCACAACAGCCCTGTGAGGGAGGTTAGGTGGACAGTGTGTGACTGGCTGACAGTTACCTGAAAAACCAGGTTCAAATCCCCAGGGTCTCCCAGATCCTTGTCTAACGCTACAGCCAGTGCCTCACACTGGTTGTATGAAAAGGACCACTCTGGGGAGATTTCACCAAGGGACTATCTGCAAATCTGATTGGAACACAACCACTAAAGCCAGCTTTCTCTCTCTGTGTCCCATCTCTTCTCCTTGTAATTTTCGGAACACTTTTATGGTTCCGACATGGTTAGAAACTAGTTTTGTGGAGGGAGATCTGTGCACCCTTTCACCAAAAACAGAGAAGCAGATTTAGGTGGGGAAACGTGTTGGTCTGAAGCATCGGAACAAAGTTTGAGTACTGTGGTCTGGCTGGTGCCACTGGGCTCAGCCTTTGTCCACCAGCTAAGCAGTCAACTTCCCGTGGAATGACTGATCTTCTTACCTCTTCAAATTTGTACGCGATCATGGCAAAAGCCTTGAAGATGGCATCTGTGGGGCCAGTAATGGTCACAATCCTCTCTGGACAATTCCCCTCTGAGATATTGATTCGTGCGCCACTCTGCAATGGAAAACCCACATCTTGTCAGATCTACAGAAGCCACATTGATAAGGTTCAGGTTTTATATGCCACATAGGGTTGCCAGATCCCCACCGGGGGTGAGGAACCCCTACTTTTAGGGGGCGCTTCCCTGCCGCCAGCTAGCTGGCCAGTGGAGGGAAATCCCACCCCCAAATGACATTTATTTTGGGCCATTTCCAGTTAGGGCTGCCAAATCGGGCTGGGGGGAGGGGAGACCCCTGCTTTGGAGGCCCAATTTCCGCCGTGGTGGCACTAGGAAGTGACGTGGGCATGCCGGGCATGCTGGGGGCGGGGCCACGGCCATACAAGGGAAAACTCTATGGTTTTCCCTTGTATGGCCGTGGCCTCGCCCCCAGCGTGCCCAGCGTGCCTACGTCACTTCCGGGTGATGTGCACGTGGCGCGCGCGCGAAGTGCGCATGCATTCACCTGACGCCGGCCGGGTGCCCCCCGCTCCCGGCGAAGAATTATTTGGCAACCCTATTTCCAGTAAAACTGGAAGTGCCCATTCTGACATGCTGATGTTACCCGGAAGTGACGTAGGTGCATTGGGGACGTTGGGGGCAATGCTCTGGTATTTGGGGGAACTCTATGGTAAATTCAGCTGAAGCAGTCTGAAAGTGGACGGAAAATTCAGCCAAAGTGGACCGAAACCACTTCCAGTGGCCTGGAAGTGGGCCAGGAGCCCCCCACCAGCCAGGTGAGTCCACCTGACAACCCTAATACCACATTTTAAATTAATTATTTTGAAATATCACAGATTTAATTTTTTTTAATTAGGCTTTTAGGTTTAATTATGCCATATCTCAGGCATCCGCCAACACCTTTCTTGGTGTCTGCCAAGTGCTTTTAGAAAGCGGGTGGGCCCAGGTGGGGCTTTTACCCAGCAAGGCTTCCGATTGGCCATTGGAGATCTGGTTTGATATTCAGATTTATTAATTTTTTTAAAAAGGAGACTTTTACAGGAACTGCCACCACAGCACAAGAATCTTCACTATGTATCTGAAGGTAAGCTGAGGCAGCCATTTTGTGGCTGGCTCCATCTCCAGCGGCAGCCATTTTGTGGCAGCCATGTTGTAGCTGCACCCCCCCTCCCCTGCTGGCGGCCAGGGGGCATCTGGCCACCCTAAGTGGCACCCACCACACTGTGTCAAAATCCCAAAGGTGCCCGCAGGCTCAAAAAGGCTGAAGATCCCTGCCATATCGATTCAGACGTTATTTATTCTGCAGAAAAAAGAACGGCCTGGCATAAGAGGCCCTTGCGTCAAGGAAAGGCACCTTGCAATGTTGCTGTTAGCAAAACACATCCGCAGGATTCAGGCCTAGATAACCTATAATTTTTCTCAGCCGCTGCACCCACTTCAAGCAAGGCTCGTGCTTCATGGTTGCGTAAACCTGATCTAGTCTGATCTTTGTATAACGAAAATAATTGCACTGGATCCACACACCTGCACTCAAGGTCGCCTTTCTGCTGTGCGGCTATAGAATGTTTCTGAGCTCTAAAAGGGCAATATTTTCACCCCAATCGACAGGCGGGTTGGCTCTTCTGCACAGAGCGTTGACTGGGCATGTGTGGTTGTTATCCCGCAAAACAGCAAGGTATAGATCAGAGGTGTCAAACTCATTTGTTACAAGGGCTGGATCTGACATAAATGTCACTTTGTTGGGCTGGCCCATGTGTGCCATAAAATGTAATGCCAGGTACTGGAGACAGAAACTGTATAAAGGACAGCAGCTGGTGAGCTCCGAGTCGATGTATCCTCACTGCAAGGCCTCATGAGCTGAGAGGGGGGTGCAAAGGAAAACCCATATGGGCAGACTGGAGAGTAAGTGGTGTAGCACTGGACAGACACTCCCACGCTGCTTGACTGCTGCAGATGAGGTTGTTCTGTAGGGCTGCCAGGTCCCCCAGTCGGCAGGGGTTTGCCCACTCAAAGGGCCCCTGACCTGCCGGCCTGGATCCGACCGGTGGGGGGAACACCACCCCCAAAGTGCCCAGATCGGGCCAACATGCCCAGTGCAATGACGTCAACCAGATGTCATCACTCTGGGCAAGTCGCTAGGGGGACGTTCTAGCATTCGGCCTGAAAACTCTGCGGTATCATAGAGTTTTCAAGCCGAATGCTAGAGCGTCCACCGATGATATGCCTAGCATGATGACGTCAGTTCTGGGTGACGTCACTGTGAGCACGAATGTCCCAAACCAGGACCTACTCCCCCCTGCTGCAACCGGTAAGCGACCTGGCAACCTTATTGTTCCGCCATGCTGAAGCTACAACTGGAGTGGCTCTGCCTGCTCTCCTAAGCAGTCTCCTGTTCCCTCCCTTGCACTAGTTGCTTGCAGGCCATATAAGAGCCCTGGACGGGCTGCTTCCAGCCCCGGGCCTTATGTTTGACACCTCTGGTATAGATTGTTCAGAGAGAGAGAGAGAGATCACCTGTGAACAATTTGTGGAAAAGGCTGCACTGTGGCCAGGGAGCTGAGAACCCCCAGAGTGACCTGCACGGGACTTTTGTCCCTAGGAAACAGGATTCTTTTTATCCTCCATTTGATTATGTACTTCATTTATATCCCATCTTTCTCCCCAGTAGGGATCCAAAGTGGCTTACGTCATTCTCCTCTCCTCCATCTCATCCTCATAACAACCCTGTAAGGGAGGTTATGAAGCATCTAACAGGAATTTTGCAGCATTATAAGGCCATTAATAAATGCATGCAAAACGCATTTGCTTTAGCAAGTAGGAAGACAAGATTGCATGACCATATTAGGCGTTGCTAGGGCCCGTTACTAAGGAAGAGGTTAACCTTGCTTTTATTTCTGTAATCAGACATAACACCTGCTGATAACAGGAAACGTTCGGCTTTCCCACAAGATACATGTGTGATCAGCCAAGGATGTTGTGTTTTTGAAAAAGTAGAGAATGCTGTTTTCTGATAATTTCTGATAATCTTCTCTTCTAAGAGAATAACAAGGAAAATAATTTTTTCCTTTGTACTCTGCATCTATATAAGCTTGATTCCAACTTCATTCGGTGTACAACTTTGTTCGAAAATGCCTCTTGGTGCTTTGGCTGTACCTTTGTGCCAAAATAAACAACTGTTGACTCTCCTTGCTGACTTTCTGGTGGTCTATCTCTCAGAATTCCCACTACAGTTAGGCTGAGGGGGGTGCCGGGCCCAGGGTCACCCAGCCAGCTTCCACGGGCAGAGTGAGGATTCGCACCTGGGTCTCCCAGATCCTAGTCTGACCCTCTAAATGCTATCCTCTGCTGGCGGTCCAATCACATCACTGTATGGCATGTGGCAAGGCTGGAGCACAGACAGTACTTGGTTTGAAAAGAGGGCCGCAGATAGGGCTGCCACCCTCCAGGTGGGGCCTGGAGATCTCCTGGAATTTCAACTCATCTCCAGAGTGCAGAGATCAGGTCCCCTGGAGGAAATGGCAGCTTCGGAGGGCATAGGGTTGCCAGGTCCTATCTTTCTGCCAGCGTGGTGGAGGTGGGGATGAAGGGCTTCTCTGGGAGCTGCTGATGTCACGCTGCCAATGTCGTGCGGCGGTGGTCTAGTTTTTGGGCAAAACTCTATGGTTTGAGCCCAATTTTACCATAGAGTTTTGCCCCAAAAGTAGAGCGTCACCGTGCGATGTCAGTGGTGTGATGACATCACTTCCGGGTGATGTCATTGTGCCACGTTTGGGGCAAAATGTTTTTATGTCTGAAACAAAAATGACACGTTCCAAAATTAAAGCAAAACCTAAGTCTTGCCAGCAGCGGTGTGGATATTCCACCCCACCCCACCTCATCTATTATGGAGGAACTGTTTATTACACTACGGCTGAACTGCTGGGGTTAGTAATACAAGGAGGGTGCACAGAGGGAAATCCTGCTTTTGAACCATTCGGAAAGACCGTCTCCATGACGCGTTGTAGAATCATCAATGCTCACCTCCTCACGCATCTTTTTCACTGTTTCTCCTTTCTGAAATTAGACAAAACAGCCAACCATCAACAGGTAATACCATCAACATTTCCCAACAGAACTTAATAGAACTTTCGTCACTTTTTTAGGGAAGTTAATATTAAGAATCTTAGCATAAGTCTCCCTTGTCCAGTGTTTGGGTTCAAAAACAGTTATAGCTTTTAGACATCTAATTCTCCACACGTATATATCTTTGACCACCTGCATTACGGAGAACTGTGGAAATATAATTCCTTAAAAGAAAACTGATTACAGTTTTTCCCAATTTAAATTTAGTCCTCATATATTTAAGGATGGGGGGGGGGTTGCCAGCTCTCTGTTCTGCTAACTTCTATACATTCAGCTATGGTTGCCAACTCTGGACTGGGAAATACCTGGAGATTTGGGGGGTGGGACCTGAGGATGGCATGGTTTGGGGAGAGAAGAGACTTCAGCAGCCATTTTTTCCAGGGGAACTGATTGCTGTTTTCTGGAGATCGGTTCTAATCTTGGGAGATCTTCAGGCTCCACCTGGAGGTTGGCAACACTATATTCAGCTGAAAAATGTGCAACTTTATGTATAGAGGCATGCACATGTAAGTTCTGCTGACGGGAACAGGAGCCCTTCAAAAGACAAGACCCGCAAGCAGGTCGGACCAGAACCAATGGGTTGAAATTAAATCAGAAGACTTTTCAGCTAAACATTAGGAAGAACTTCCTGACAGAGCGGCTCCTCAGTGGAACGGGAGGTGGTGGGCTTTCCTTCTTTGGAGGTTTTCAAACAGAGGCTAGATGGCCATCTGGCAGCAATGCTGCTATGTGAACTTAGGCAGATCATGAGAGGGAGGGCAGGAAGGGTTGCCTCAGTGCTTAGTTCTCGTGGCCCTTTCTTACACGCCAAGGGAAATGCTGATCACCACTTTGGGGTCAGGAAGCAATTTTTCTCCAGGCCAGTTT